TCATTGTTGTTTGGCGGGCCCGGGCTGGGGATTCGATCCCGCCACCTTAGGTGTATGTGGCTGGTGCCTTAGCCGCTTGAGCCATAGGCACTGAGCCAAGTTCAGAAATTTTTTCAATGAAATTTATTTAAAATATGCTAAAGAAGCCTGGGGAAATACCCACCTCCTTTCTTCAAAAAACCGAGTCTCAAAAGCTAAATAGATCTCTAACCAACTGTGTCTCCATTATTTCTTTTCTCTTTCATTCATTTCTTTTCTCTTTTCATACCATAATAACGTTTTTGGTATGAAACATAACTCAACTTTGTTCAGAAAAATAAAGTGTAACTTCATTATGCCTTTAGATATTATATATATTTATTTGGTTTAGTTTTCAGCTTTACTATGAAGAAGCTTTAAAATTTGGCTTTCAGATGTTTTTATGTTTTTGCGTATTTATGAATATTTTACACATGAAGAATGTGATATGGAACATTTTATGTAATTTTTCCAAAAAATTGTATATGCATATGAAGAATCTGCTAACTTCAGCACACATTTCCCAGTAATCTCAGGTTCCGGATATTAAGTCCACATGCCCTCTTAAGAGAAGATCGCAAACTCCCAATTCTACATAAATGTTTGCCAATAAATGATCGTAGTCAACATACTTTACAATACATCTTTAATGTTCATATCCTTTTCACTGAAGTTTAAAACAAGAACAAAAAAAGAAGGAAACATAGAGGGAAATCTGATGTTGATTGTATGTATCTGAAATAGCCAGATTGTAATTCATCTTAAACCTGTGATTATTTTTTTTTCCTCTTCTTTCTTTCTTTGCAGGAGTGTTGTGGTACCTGTAAAGAAGCCACCTCCAGGTAGTTTAGCCGTCACCACTGTGGGAGCCTCTAGTGCTGGAAGTGGGCTGCCAACAGGCAGTACCTCTAATATCTTCGCTGCTACTGGAGCTACACCAAAAAGTATGATTAATACAACAGGTATTGTCCTTATATATTTTTGTGATACCTCATCTTTTTCTTTCTGTTTTCTATATATTCATTTTTCTGCTTATTTGATCTTAAAAATTAAAATGCCCTAATTATTTAAAATTATCTCTAAGAAGCTTAGGTTACAACTTTTCAGAGTTTATATTTCTTGTGTACATTTTAGTGGTCATTGGAGAGGACAGTACTGGTTTTGAGTTTTCTCAAAACACATTGCTGTTTAATCTCAGAGTTAAATCAGATTTCTGAAAGATACTTGGGAAGCAAAAGCAAGTGATAATGAGAACACTGAAGTTTGATATATAAAAATCAGGAAATTATATCAAGAATATCAAGGTATACTAAAAATGTTAACGAAAGAAAATGGTTGTCAGGTTGAATCCTAATGTATATTCTTTGCTAATCTTCAGAGAGAAAACAGAGCTCTCCTAAGAACCTTGACTATAGGGACGAGCCACAACTTGATAAAAATTGCATGTGAATAAGAATGATTTCTTTTGACATTTAATTAATTCATAGACTTAGATAATAATTGTATCCAATTCATTCTCCAACAATTTTCTAATGATTCTAGGAACAAAAAATTCCAAATCATTACAAATTTTAAAAGCCTGCCTAAAATAACATTTTTTTTTTTTTTGTAAATTTCCAGCAATGTTCCTGTTGATTATTAGCTAAATAAATCCTTACCCAAATCTTTGTGATTCCATTTTAGGTATTTATACAGCGCAAGATGATCCCTGACTTTTCTTCCCTGACTATAGTAGCCTTCTCTTCTCCAAACTGTATAGCCTTGAACTTTTCCATTTATTATCATTACTTAGATTCTTCCCATTTTTATTAATTTCATAGCTCTTCTTTGTGCTTTCTGTATCTATCTTGTTTATCATACCACCTGAGTCTGACATATCACGAACAACACAGTTATGGGGTTGTAGTAAGTAGAATGTACTCTATTAAGCATATTTATATTAGCAAGTAAAAATCATTAATGGCATTGTAGCAAAGAAAAGAACATCTTTTGTTTCTCTGTATTATAAATAAATATTTATATCTGACTTGTCTGAAAACTTTAAAGTCTTTACTTCCAGCATTATAATTTTATTCTTTGTACTCATTTGGCTTTCTAGAAATAAAAGAAAACTTTTTTAACAAAGGATATTCATAAAATAGTATTACAGTTTTTAATATATGCCAGTGTAGTAGGGGAAAAGTCTACATTTAGTATGGTTTATTGAGTAAAGTCCCTATTCTCATTAGGAATTAGGTAAATTTATCTTTATATGAGACATCATGATATTTTATTTTAATCTCTTTTAAGAATTAATAACAGATACAGAAAATAATGTAGCAAGAGACTTATTGATAGTATAAGGCTTATAATATTACAATGACAAATAAAATGTAAGTAACACTTCTTCTTTAGAAGTACATATACGTAGTGTCTATACATACATATGTTTATATATACTGGGGACGGAAGTCAACATCTTCACTGGTTGCATTGTCCAGTTTAGATGCTGGCACATAGGTGCTGTTAAATGTTATATTGGAAACCCCAGTGAGCAATTCAGTTTTATAGGAATTACTGTAAGATATAATAATATTCAGGAACACTAGATGTCCCTCAACTCCACAGCTAAATTCAATATACTTCGTGTATTATAGAAAAATTGTGTAAAATGGCATCTTCATATCATCGAGGAGAACTCATTATTTTAAAATCAGGTACATCTATACTCATTATAGTTCTGCTTAAGCATTCATCTTCTCAGAATGAGCGTGTGAAGCTGCACTGCCACAAATTTATGCTCAGACAATTCATTATAAACTCTGCCTTAGGTGATGGAAACTAAAAAATATTACAACCTAGCAATAAGAGATAATTTTTACATCTAAATTTGCATTCTTAGCCTCCTTTTATCTAAATTTGTTTCCATTTGTTGATGTCTTCTATTTATACCCCATTTGTAATATTTAGTTTTATTAGATTAACATAAGTAAATCAACTAGATGTTAGTGCAACAGCTGCTATTTAAAATTATGAGTTATTAGTATACGAAAAGCCAAATGATTTTTAATTGTCAAATTTTGTTTGGAAATTCAGATGCATAATTCTTTCAAAATAAGATAATAATGATATAATTATAATTATTTTTAAAATAAATTTATTTTTAAGGCTAAAAATTATTATTTTGGGAACAGGTGCCGTGGATTCAGGGTCCTCCTCCTCTTCCTCCTCTTCTAGTTTTGTGAATGGTGCTACCAGCAAAAACCTTCCAGCTGTACAGACTGTTGCTCCAATGCCAGAGGATTCAGCTGAAAACATGAGGTATGCATAACTATTTGTTTTTTAACTCTTCCTTCTATTTTAATATAGTGAAACAGTATTCAAAAAAAAAAGATATAGTAAGAATTCATGGGTTATAGGATAATGTGTCTTTTGGCTAATTATTTTATTAAAAAATCTGTGATATTATGTTTCAGAGTGTGAACTGAGAGATGCTGAGTAATTTTTAAGCATTGACTGCTGGATTTGTAACTCATTGTCATGTAAGGCACATTAGTATTGCTGATAAAAGTTAAAACCTGTACAAATGGTAACATGATAAAAATTGGGCATCTTTGTGTGGGTAATAAAATATAAACTTTCAAAATAAATCAGCAAAATTATCTATAATATGTTATATCTGGAACTTGAATAACCAAATGTTAGCTTATCTACCATGTTTAAAGAACGTTCCTAGAAGACACTAGCTGTCATTCTTAGAGTAAAATTGTGCTAGCCTGCACACACATGCATATGTGTATATATTCACAGTTTTTATAGAAATATAGCACAAGAAAATCTCAATGAAAGAGCACACTCATGTTACCATCACCCCATTCAAGAAGTAGACAGTACCCTAGACAGCCCCCACATTTTGCTCCTTTCCCTGACATTGTTTATGCTCTTCTTCGGATTTTCCACTCTGATTTTTAATCAGGATACTTGATTTTTAATTAGGATAATTTGTCCTTTTTGAATTTTATGTAAATGTAAGTACACCAGATATATTCTTTGTTTCTGGCTTTTTATGGTCAATATGTATATGAGATCATCCATGATGCATGTAGCAATAATTTGTTCATTCTTGTTTTATTTATTTATTTGTTTATTGTTGGAAATTCATTGAGGGTACAAGAAACCAGGTTACATTGATTGCATATGTTAGGTAAAGTCCATCTTACAATCGTGTCTTGCCCCCAGAAGGTGAGTCACACACCAAGACCCCACCCCCTTCCCTCCTTCTTTCTCTCTCTGCTCTCCCCTTTCCCCACCCCCACCATGTCATTAATTATCATTAATTGTCCTCATATAAAAATTACACTGCTGGTGGGACCGCAAACTAATAAAACCTTTTTGGAAGGAAATATAGAGAACCCTCAAAGAACTCAAACTAGACGTTATTCTTTTTTTATCTCTTTGTATGTGTAATTAACAATTTATTTTACTGATGATAGGATTTGGAATTTTCCATTTTTAGCTAATAAAAATAATACTGCTACTGTGTTTCTCTGAAAATAAGACCCCCAAAAATAAGCCCCAGCAGGATTTCTATGCACTTGTTAAATATAAACCCTACCCCCATAATAAGACCTAGTGATGGGCATGGCTATACAGATACACCATGCATTTCAGCAGGGAGCAGTTAGGTGTAGAATCCATCTGGAATACCTTTTATCTGCCACAGCTCCTTTCTCCTAGCCATTTGCACTTGCGCAGGTGCACATGTGGTAACCACAGTCGCAGACATCCTATTGCACACGTGTGAGCGGCTATGGGAAAGGAGTTCACGCATCACTAGTGCCAGCCCCACCAAGATCGGTTCCCCCGTCAGGTTCCAGAAGAAGATGACTTAACTGTATTTGAATAAATGTAGATTGTCGTATTATACTTAATAAACATAAGACATCCCCTGAAAATAAGCGCTAGTGTGTCTGCTTGAGAAAAAGTAAATATAAGACAGTGTCTTATTTGGGGGGAAACATGGTATGTAGAAAATAATGCCACTTGGAATTGTCATAAGTGCTGTTAGTATGTGGATGTGGTACACATTAGTATGTGTAGTGTTGGGTAGGTAATTTAGAGTGGAACTGCCAGTTCATAATGTTTATACCTATTCAATTTTGTTAGATAATGCCAAATAGGTTTTCAAAATGTTTATGCAGGTTTAGTAACACAGCAGCAGTTTATGAGAATTCCTGTAGCTTTATATCTTTGACAGAATTTAGCATTCTCAGACTCTTTTATTTTAGCCATTCTACTGTGAAAGTATTATGGCCTTCCAGTGTATTTTTAACTTGCATTTTCTTGATGTTTAATGAAGGTGAGCACTTTATATTTATTGGTCTTTTGGTTTTTCTCTTTCATGATTTGCCTGTTGAAATATCTTGCCCATTTTAAAAGTTGGGTTGTCTTTTTTATAAGTTTGTAAAAGTTTTTTTTTTTTTCTATTTTGAGAATGAACCTTTTGATGATTGTATGTCATAGATATATATTCTCCCATTTTTTTGCTTTCCCTATCATTATCTGTATGGCCTATTTGATCAACAGAAATTCAGAAATTGTGTATTTTAAAGTTATTTAATTTATAAATTTCTTGTTCATAAGTTTTTTGTGTTATAGGAGGCTTTGCCTACATTTTTCCTGCTCATTTTCTGGCTTTATTCTTTGCTTTTTATATTTAGGTGTAGAATCCATCTGGAATTGACTTTGTTATTATGATCAGATAGGAGTAATAGGGATGTGAAGATGACCCAGCGCTGTTTGTTTGGAAGACACTTCTTTTCCCCATGCTCTGTCACTTTTGACAGAAATCAAGTGTCTATATGTACTTGATTATGGTTTGTCACACTCTGCCCATTTATCTTTCCAACATAATGTCATAATTATCTGTAGCTTTAATAGAGATCAGTAGGGATCAATATTGGGTTGAGCGAGGTCTTCCTACCTTGACCTTTTTCCTCAGCAGTGTCTACTCTAAACTATTCTTAATGCTTTGCATTTCCATGTAAACTTTAGAATCAGTTTGTCAATATCTGCTTTAAAAACTCATTTCAGGAAGTCTGTTGGAACTGGGTTATATGGCATCTATGGATCTCTTTTAATTTTGTGACTTACAAACTATGAACATCATATATTTCTTCCATTTCTTTAGATTTTCTTAAATTTTTTTCAGTAATGATTTTCTATTTTCTGTATAGAAGGCTTATATTACTGATTTGTCCTTAGGAAGGTAATATTTTCTATTGGTATCTTTCTTTAAGTCACTTTTCAGAGCAGGTTCATTGAGACTGATTATGTTGCTAAATTTTGAATTCACACTTTAATAACTTTCAAATGTATATATTGAATATAAATTTTAATAGTTTTCATTAGTTTACACAGCCATGCAGCCACTAACACAATAAAGATGTAGATATATCTATTACCCTAACACTTCTTTTGCCCCATTTGCAGTTCACACCATCCCTGTCCCACACAAACACTTACATGCTTTTAACATGGTAACTTAGATTTGTCTTTTCTAGGATTTCATGTAGATGGAATCAACAGTATATACTTTGTTGTGTTTGTCTTTTTTTGTTTAAATTAATGATTCTGTGATTCATCTATCTCTTTTTGTTTGTGAGTAGTCCATTTTTTTTTTGGTATATTGTATTATTTGGCCATTACACAATTAATTTGTCTTCTTATCTGACATTAGCCATCTGGTTTTTCCCAGTTTGGGACAGTTATAAATAATGATTCTGTGGATATTTGAGTAAAAATCTTGGCATGGAAACATATTTTCATTTCACTTGAGTAAACACCTAAGAGTAAAATTGCTGATTGCTTACCTTTATAAAAACTGCTGAGCCATTGTACAAAGTAGTCATCTCATTTTATATTTCTGTCATCAGTGTGTAAAGATTCTCCCATATTCTTTTTAACCCTTGGTATTGTCACTCTTTTTAATTTAAGACCTTATCATGGCTGAGTAATCATATCTCATTTGGTTTTACTTGCCCTTTCCTAATGGTTAATGATGGTGAGTATTGCTTTTTTTTGCATATGTATACGGGCCATTAAAATCTTCTGCTAATTTTTAAAAATTAGGTTGTTATTGAGATTTAAAAGTTGCTTATATATTTTGCATATATGTCCTTTGTGAGAAAACCACATTCCAAAATTTTTTGTTCTGATGTGTCAATTATATTTTCATTTTTATTTTTATTAAATCATAGCAGTGTACATTAATACTGTCATGGGGTACGGTGTACTGTTTCTGTATACAATTTGAAATACTTTCATCTAACTGGTTAACATAGCCTTCATGTCTTTTTCTTAGTTATTGTGTTAAGACATTTATATTCTATAATTAGAGAGATTCACATGTACCTTTATAGGATGACCCATAGGCGTGATCCCACCAATCATTCTCCCTCCCTCCACCCTCCCACCCTCCCCTCCCATCCTTCTCCCTTCTCCCCATATTCCTGGGCTAAAATTGAGTTATAGCTTTCCTATGAAAGCTATAAATTAGTTTCATAGTAGGGCTGAGTGTTCCTGTAGCGTAATTGGTTAGCACATGGTATTGATATATTTTCATCTTTAAAATGATTATGACAAAAAGTTTTTAATTTGGATGAAGTCCATTGTCTCAAGTACAATCTTTACCTACCACCATGTCATGTAGATGTTTTCCTCCACTTTTTTCTACAAGTTTTATAAGCTTTAGCTTTCATGTTTAGGTCTCTGATCTATTTTGATTTAGGTTTTGTGTGTACAGTCAAGCAAAGCTTGGGATTTGTTTCTTTCAATATGTACATCAGTGTTTCAGTGCCATTGAATTACCTTGGCACATTGGTTTAAAATCAGTTGACCACCTATGTATGGGTCAGTTTCTAGATTCCATTCTGTTCCATGACCTATATGCTAACACAGGCCTGTTTTCCTTTATGTAGCTTTATACTGTCTTGAAATCAGGTAGTGTAAGTCCTCTAATTATGTTCTCTTTTGAAATCTCTTTGACTTTCCTAGGTTGTTTGAATTTTCATAAAAATGTTAGAACTGGCTTATCAAATTTGAAAAAGAAATCACTGAAATTTAAATTACAATAATCTTGGAACTTTAAATTTGTAGACACATTATATGGTAATAATATTGAGTATTTTACTTAAGAATATATTTCTGTTGTCAACTTACTGTTTTTCATGATTAAAGTCTTATTTTTATGTCTTATACTTTCCATATCTTTGATGCTAATACAAATTAAACTTTTGACTGTAAATTTCCATTTGAGTGTT